AATAAAAAAATAAAACAGACATCAAAATGTCGTATTTCACGGTGCATCTTCCCACCGAAAGCACTTTATCTCTGAGCATTATAATTGCTGCGCCGGCGCAGTCGTGTCTCGCCGCGCGCCCACCCAGACGCATGCGCGCCCAAAAAACAACAACACACAATCCCACATAAGAGCAAACAAAAGCCGGCATGCGAACTTAATAAAACAAAGACCGACCTGTAATTTACCACCGCTCTTGTACTTTAACGAGTTTATTAATTCAATATCGAAAACCATCCCGAGTCGATGTAAAAAATGCATCGCTACATTCCATTTGATCGTTTTATTGGTTTTAATGTAACGATTTTGTTTGTCATTCTCTAATTGTTTAAGGTATAGTTGGTAAAAAATACGGTTAAACCTGATTATAGGATGGATTAATTCAACTGTGAAAGGGAAAAAAATGTTGAATTGCCTTTGAATGAGAACATTTTGATTGTTAACATTTTTAAAACAATAAAACTGTATTATACATGTAAGTGTAGATGGGATGATGGTATGTGCGACATTTGCCCACGCAGCGCACTTGACAATGGCACAGCTAAGACGAATAAATATTGCGAAGTAACCTATCGTATACGAACAATACTACTTTGACTACCTTGTCACAATAAAATACGCTGTAGAATCACAGGTGCTGTTTTGATACTATTAAATGTCAAAGATATTGTTACATTAACGTATTTAATGTAATTTTCTGGTATTTTTGAAAAATATCCAGAACGTATCCATGGTTTGATTAATTTTGTGAGTCACTTTTAAGGACTCTTAAAGTTCAAATATGTTTAATGTTTTGAAATTCCTTTTGACTGGCCACCCAGGTGGGGCGATGTTGCGTGCACCGACGTGCTGAGCTTTAAGCACAAAACGGCAAAAGCAAAGAAACGATATCTGTCTTAATACAAACCGATGGCTTATTATGTTCCAAGGGTTCATTAAAATTATATATCTTTGGTGTTCGGAAAGTCTCCCACGGCGTTGCGTCTCTATTATTGACCATAAATCAAAAAGTTAACAACCTACTTAAAAGGTTGAGGCGGGTGGGTTTTTGTGCGGCTCAAAGCGGCCGACGTCGGCCCGGCTGCGGGAACGATGAGGTGTGCCCTGTGTTTGTTTGTTTTAACATCCCAACGGTGCATTAGACTTTTTTGCTTCTTTTCGATGTGCTTTTTATACGATTGAATTCTTATCAGTGTCCGAGTGCTTTTTTTTAGGACTGAGAATAATGCACATCATTTCGTTGCTCGTAATCGTCTCTTTAAGGCGAGCGCGTTCGGAATGTAAATACGACTATCGCTTTTTCAAATCCACGAAAAAAGCGTACGTATGATGAAATGGTAAAGTTTAACTCCGTCACGTGACTCATCAGAATTCTCGAGGTGTCCTGTGGCATTATCGGGCATGGCAGCGACGACAACCTAAGAAATTGAAATAATTAGCCTGTGATGTACGCCCCGTACGTGTTGCGAATACCGCGCATAGTTATATAACCATTCTCTGTAGGAAGAACATGTCGGCATTCGTTTAAATAATTTGGAATGCGCTTAAAATATGACTACATAAGTATCATTTAAATAATCTGTGCTTCATATGTTAATGATATTCTGAGCAGAACTTACATGAAATATTCAATACCATTGGATCTTAAAAGTCACAGAAAGCTTATTCAGAAAGCTCGACGCCTGTAAGTCTGTGAAACAAACGATGCAAATATGCATGTGTTGTACAATCTTTTTGATATTCATTGGATATACTTAGAGTATAATTAACGAACATTTTACGTATATTTTTTTTGTGTTAATGTTTTTTCGGTGACGCAGCAGAATGTGTCGGCTCCGCGCGGACTGATGATGAATACTTCATTGTTTGTCTACAAAAGGAGCGCGCGCTTTGTTCAGTTTGTTTGTTAGTCTTGTGTAGTTTTACGACAGACACTTGACTGTCTTCATTGTCACAATTATGCGCCGACTGCGGCGGTCCACTTAGGGCTGTCGACTTACACAAATATTAATATAACGCTTTCATATTCTCTTTAAAAACCTTAACCTATGGAAACTATAACATGAACTGAAGATTACAAATATCGTAATAATAATTCTGATTGTATGAGGTTTAAATATATTTTTTTAATGTTTTAGACGTTTTAAGTTTTCAAATAAAGTGGCAACCCTATTTGTTCTTCCACTTCACGTATGTTGAATGTTCATGCGTATTGAATGAACCTTATTTAACGATACAGTGCACATACGAACACGCTGTATGTCATCCAGTTCCATTATATTCAAACGCACTTCTCAGTACTTCTAGCGATCATAAAAGCTTTTTGATTGCGAATCAAGAACATTGTCATCGTAAGCGTTCATTGTGATTGCAACATTGTGATGTAGATGATAGGAAAATACATACGTATGCTTTGTAATGTGTTATTGTGTCGTAGAACTTAAACAATAAGATAAACGAGTTATTACATTGTACTATTGCAGTCCCGGAATATTTGAAATAAAAACATTACAATTCGATGCAACACTCAAAAGTAAGTAACCAAGTTTCTTTAAATGAGAAAAAGTCTACGTAGCTTCTGCAAAAATTGGTTCTGATTTTAAAACGGTATACCTACTTACTAATTTTGAACCTTCATGTAGCAAAAATATAACTAAATCAAAAACTAGCAATATATTTCCATTCACTATTTTATAGAACCTCAAACAATCTAATAAAGCTGTGTCAACAGCTTCAAAACGGATCATTCCACGAATTTCCATTCATACCATCGACAACAATCAAATTATAAAAACAGAAGATATAAATTAAAGCGGTTATTGGATGCGGCTATAGGGATAGGAATCTTATATTTTTTACAATTAGTTT